TGGGTCCCCCCCCCCCCCCCCCCCGCCATGAGTCAGTAGTTCCAGTTCAGGACAAGGCTTTGAAGGTGACCAGTGAAGGTGACTAGTGGTTCATCTGAAATAAGCTATTTTGAGATTCATAAACAGGCATCTCCTTTGTGATCAAAATTAGTAGATTTGTTCACCACAACAGTAACCTGTTGGTTAGTGATTATACGTTATTATAAAGAATGAAAGAAAATGTGTGTTAGGTTCCTGAGATGGCACTGAGAAAATACACATAAGCCATAGATCTCAGTGTCATTTATAGAATTTAGGTTTTCATCTTTCTCTCACCTCCTATTCAGAACACTAACTAAAAATCAGCAAACTGTAGGATTACCGTAGGGTGAACTGGCAAAGACAAAGGTGATTTACAGCATGTCTTGTTGAGCAGTTTGGTGAACAACCACACTGTCCAGGCTCGCTCACATCTGATTTCTTCTGCTTGAAATACGCTCCCTAACCAAGAAGGTCTTGAAAAATCCCTTCTTCAGTTGTGAGCAGAACAACTGTCCTGTAGGTGGGACACGAAGTAAGCAGATTGTGCTCTTCAGAATTAGGCTTTTATTGATGACTGACTCCCACATAAAATGCATGTGGAAAAGGAACTGGAGCAGAAAACACAGTATCCTTGCTAGTTTTTTTTAGCTGTTCTTTGCCTTCCCTATGAGGGCCTACTTTGCCTGCAGTAAATCTATCAAGATTAATCACTTCTGCTGCGTGCAAGACTCTTTAGGCTTCAGTGGAACCTGTAAGGACCATACTAATGTCACTGCAGTGCTGCTTTGTTCAGGCTTTTACTACGGAAGAGGAAGGCCCTAGAACAAGTTACTGGCCAGGACGACCAAAAAAGATGCTGTGTTTGTTCATCCAGCAGAGCAAGTAGTGGACAAGTCAGATAAATTATGTTGAGAGCTACCTAAAGACCTTAAGATGGAGTTTTCTTTATTTTTCTTGTACTTAATCCCTGCGTGGACCACTTCATAATTGTGCTGCGTTTCTTACTGCTCTCCAAAAGTACATCT